TATAAATAATTGGCATGAAATTATTTAAACTTGAAATCATAACTGGAATTATAATTTAAATTATGAAAGTCACAACTCATTTTTAAATGAATAATTCTGAGTTACTGATCTTTTTATTTGGTTTTATTGGAACATCTATAATTTTGACTGATGTCTCATTTATTTTTCATTTCTATTGAATAAATTTCTTTTCATAAAACTTGTAAATCAAAAGAGTTTCTAAATTTAAAAACAACCTCTGACAGAGGAAGCAGGGACTTGCTTCTTTGCTTGTTCCCTCACATTAGTCTTTCATCCTTCCTTCATTGGTCTTCTTGCTTCTGATTTTGAAACTTGCTCCTCCAGCTGGGTTCCAGGTGTGGAGCCGGGCGGTGGAGGCCTTCGTCAAGCAGCTGTGTCTGCAGGAGCAGTACCTGAAGGCAGCGTCCCACCTGCTGTCCATCAACAAGCTGTACGAAGCCGTCGACCTGCTGCGTTCTCACAAGCTCTACAGGTTCGCCGCTTTAATCCTTCAGTTTTGAACGGACATGTAACGACACACACCTGCTTCTTGTTGCCATTGTCGTCTCCAGGTGATATTCATATGTGTGTGTGTGTCATGACAGGGAGGCCATAGCTCTGGTGAAAGCCCGGCTGCCGGCAGACGAGCCGGTCCTGAAGGAGCTCTACACCTGCTGGGCCTCTGTGCTGGAGAAGGACGGACATTTCTCTGCTGCTGCCAAATGGTGAGAGATGGGAAGATTTAGAAAACGTTCTCCCAGCATTTAGTTTCTCACCTCTCTGCTGTGGTTAAACTAACATCTCTATACAGACATTATCTAAACCCGTGTTTTCTCCTTCACTTCACCTCTTCTCCCAGTTACTTGGCTGCCGGCGCCAGTTTCGACGCGGCCAAAGTCATCGCCAGGAAGAACGACGTCTCCTCGCTGAGGACGGCGGCCAGCCTGGCCAGAGTTTCCGGGGAGGCCGCTCTGGCTGAGTCGCTGGCGCTGAGGTGCGCTAAAGACCTGGCCGCTGCTGAGAACTGGGTCGGAGCCCAGGAGGTCCTGAGCTCACAGGAGGGTCTGTTGGTAAGTGGCAAAAACATCACGAACACAGGAAAATAAAATCATGCAGCTTATAAACACATGCAAACCAAGACAAGCCAAATACAACAGGAGACCTGCAGGTTCAGAGTCTTTAAAAATGTGAATTAAAAGAACAGAGTGAATAATTTTGTCTGAAAAAGATGTTGTGAAAGTCAGATGACTGACTTGAAAAGTGATCTCCATCGTCTACAGGTCCACAGGCTTCACCTCTGTGTCACCGAGCTGTTCTCCGTGACGCTGGCCGACTCTGGGGTCGCACCTCAGTCCTGCGTCTCCAGCCACCTGTGGGCGTCGCCGGGCGAGGGTCACATCAGCATCCTGGACCGGGTGAGAGACGTGTGGGAGGAGCAGTTCGGCGTCTCACAAAAGTCGGCGGGACATCGCAGCGTCACCACTCTCCTGCAGGAACTGAAGTCTGTGGAGAGTCCAGCGCCCACGACCAACGTCCCCCTGAGACAGGTACAGAGTCCTCAGACTGATTCCAGCTGTTTCCTGTCTCTGGCTGTCCTCCTGTCTTTCTTCACGTCTCTTTCTCTCTTCGTCCTCAGGTTCTGCTGTATTCATCCCTCCATCTGACCCGGTCTGTACTGAGCTGGTTGATGGATGATGATGGACAGCTGATGAAGGAACTGTGGCAGGCAGCAGCTTGGCTGAGAGACGCCGGACATCTCTGTGTCTCTGCAGAGCTCTGCAGGCTGCTGTTCCCTGAAGGTACTCACGTCTGTCTGTCTGTGTCTCTCTCTCTCTCTCTCTCCCTCTCTCTCTCTCTCTCTCTCTCTCTCTCTCTCTCTCTCTCTGATCAATCAATAATGTCTGAATTGGTGCAACAGAAATTTTTCACTATTTCAACTTTAAATACACTTTTCTTTAGCATGAATCAAAGACAGATGTTGATCCTAAAGATTTCTGTTATGACTGATTTGGTCATAATTAATCAGCTGTACCTTTGATAACTGATTTAACAAGTCAATCATCCAGGAAAAAACACACTCACAGAAAACCAGAAGCTGGAAACTTGTGACATCCACTTTTCAACCAGCATCAGTTGTGTATAATTTTTATTTTCTGAGCTGCGATGCCACCGTTCTCTGTCCCTCTCTGTTTCATCAGGTGACGTCACAGTTTGTTCCAGGAAATATCCCAGAACCCTTCATCACACAGAAGAAGAAGCTGCTTCAGCTGCTGCCGACAGTCTGCAGGCCTTCGTCCAGTACCACCGTCTGTACGAACGCTGGTGGAGCAGCTCGGCCAAAAACCACCAGATCCAGAACGGGTCGCCCCCCTCAGCAGCCGAGTCCGGCGCTGGAGACGAGGTGAAGGACAAGGTGGTGAACGAAGGGTTGTCAGAGTCACCGCCAAACGGGGAGGTGGATAAACTGGACTTTGATGCTTCACTTCTCCTGTGTGAGTCTCACGCTGCGTATCAGGCGACGCAGAGGTCAGTCAGACAGATCCAGGAGCGGCTGTCGGCCATGGTGCTGCAGCACAGCCACGCCCAGGGAGGGCAGCTCGACTCTGGGGAGGAACAGGCCGACGCGTCCACGCAGATATCAGATAACAGACGGGGGTGAGGACTCTGATACTGATGATTCATGATAGACTTGTTTCTTGTTCTGTTCTATTTTGTGATGTTAGAGGCTTCAAAAACCACATGAAACTGCAGGTAGTTCAGACGTTTTGTGACATAGACTTATAGTTGTGGGAAGTAAATAGGTACATTTAGTTAAGTACTGTAGTTAAGTACAGTTTTGTAGAACTTATACTTTGTTGTTTACGCCACTTTTTATACGTGTACTCCTACTTGTCAGAGGGAGATATTGTAGATTGTATTATCTGGCAGCTGTAGTTACCACTTAGTTTGTAGATTGAGAGTTTACAGCAGCTAAGTTACTGCTAGTGGAGACTGATCTGAAGTCAGCTTAATAATCAAACAGTTCAGATTTTATATGTTTGAGCTGCCTGGATTGATTAGTAATGGACTCGTTGTTCTTTGTGTGCGTCTTCTCTCCCTCAGGCCTGACGACCAGGAGACCTTCCTCTCTTTGTCTACCAGGATGTCAGAGCACCAGAAACAGCTGGCTGACCTGCCAGACACAATCAAGGTACAACACAACACACACACACAGTATGAGATCACATGACCCAAACAGAAAAAATAGTCTACAGCCACATTAGCGGCTCCATGAGGCTGCACTGCGCGGAGCTAAAATGCTAACAATGACAACAAGCTGATATAATATTCACCATCTTAGTTTAGCATGTTAGCATGCTACTATTTGCTAATTAGCGCTAAACAAAAAGTAGAGCTGAGACTGATGGGAATGAAACATTATTTTTTTAATCTTATTCGATATTTGGTGATAAATGAAATGATCTGGACAAATTAAACTCTGACCTGATGATGGCACCGGATGAAAAGTTAAAGGGATCACTGAGGTTATCACAGTTCATCCTGAGAGGAATCATGTCACTGAAAACTAAAAGCATCAACCTGCTGGTGGCGCTGGAGGAAATGTCAGTGGGGTTCATCCTGTGGAGATTATGAATATCTGTTCAAAAATAATGTATCCAGGTGTTCACCTTCGTGTATGAACTCCTAAAGGATTAAAGTTGAATTTGATGTGGTCAGACTTTAAGAAGTCGTACACCCACATCTCATCGCCTCCGTCTTCAGCAGTTACATATTTGTGTTTTCTCTCTCAGATGTATCCTCATCCAGATGTTGTCGAGTGCTGCCTCGTTCTCCTTCACTTCACCAAGTCTTCACCGTCTGTCTCCGAGTCCCTGCAGCAGGAGGCCAAAGATCTGCTCCGTAAATACGCATCAGCGACGCCGGTCCTGAAAGCCGCCCAGCGATTCCTCACCTGAGCCTCTCACTGCGAGACTAAAAGAAGCACTTCCACTGTACAGCTGTTTGTTGAATTAAAAAAAAAAAATCTTTAATAACAAGATGATGAAACATCCTGAGTCAGTTTGATTCTACATCCAGATGTGCGTGAGAGAGGCCGAGTTGTGTGGCCTGGAGCTGGAACAGGAGCAGCAGGTCACAGCCGAGTGATGTCATTTGATTCAACGCAGGACTCCAGCTTGTTTAATCTTCTCCCGTGTCCTGATGTGACTGATCAGTCAACACTGGTGAATGACTTTCTACTGGTCCTTTTTTTAACCACCGCAAAAAATCTCAACAATGTTGTGCTTGTACCCGTCTGAGCCCACAGTTAATACCAGCTTTAATATTAAATATCCAACCAAACAGTGAAATACTGGACTGTGGCTATATATCAATGAAAGGCCTATTCAGAACTGAAAATGTTTGTCGGTTGTCAGGTTAGATTCTAAAGATGGAAACTAATTGGACTGTCAGATGTAGTTTCTGTAGATTTACTGTAAAATTCTCTGTTTTAGAACAACCTTGGAAAAAATGCAAACACTTCCTTTTAAAATGCCAACAAATGTCTGATTTGTTTTGTAAGTTTAAAATCAATTATCAGCTTTTCTGTTTTGTACTTTTGAAAATCTTCGGGTTCTGAAACGACGGTTGGATCAGTGGGATCACTGACATCAGACAGTGTTATTGGAAAACTAAACAATTAGTTGAACTTGGCGCTTACTGTAACTTTTGATTAAATTTTAATCTTTGTAAACACAAGCTAGAACAAGAGAACATTTGTGCCGAATAATTAATTAGCAAAATATCTTTATCAAATCTTTCTTAAATCACATAATTGTTTCAGCACTGGATGCATTCCTTATATTTTAAAGCTTTCCTTCTGAGACTGCAGACAACTTTCTAGGTAAGGAGGAAACTGAACTTTAAGTCAAAGGTCGGAAATGAACCTTTTTAAACATAAATGTCGGAGAAGCTGTGTGTCAGTGTGGTTAAAGAAAAGGATCTAATACTTAACATTTACATTCAAAATACAAAACAATTTAATATACAACTGTTTAAAACAATGTAGAATGTAAAAACAACAGTAAGCACAACATCTGTAAACCTGACGGTGGACAGTTTGGTTTGGTGCGTGAATATACAGAACAGTAGTAGTAGTAGTTTTTTCCCCATCGAAACACATGCATAACCAAGCACAGTTATACACTGTTAAAAGTTTCTGAAAGTGGAAAAGAGCTAAAACATTTTATTCTCATCAAAATTATACATTTTAATTTACAGGCCCTTCCAGCATTAACTTAAAAAAATAAAATCCCTGCAACAAGAATACGAGTCCCCGCTGATGAGAAGTTTAGTCTGAACTGAAGGATCTGACTGTTCCTGTCAAGGTTTGGTCTGAAATCACAGTGTGATACAGGAGCTGGTCCCATGCTGTAAAGAAGGGTGTCACTAATGCTGTAAATGAAGAAAGATCTTTAAAAAAGTGTTCTGAATATATGGCCATACATTCAGTACAAGTGACTAAAAAGAAACGAGTGAGCCGGTGTCACCGTGAGTCCATTTTACAGTCACTCAGGAGGGAAATTTAAAGAAATATTTACTTCCGTCTCGTTCAGGGATCGAGTGTCGAGGGAGCTCAGAGGGGAAATCTGCTGGTTGGGGTTTTTTTTTTTCTTTTAAAACAAGTGCGAGTTCCACTTGAGAGGTCGAGCGCTCGGTCAGTGCTTGTTGTTCGTCTCCTCCTGGCCCGAGCTGGAGATGCCGTTCTGCGGTTGGCTGGAGCCCGAGCCCAGGCCGTACAATCTCCCACAATACTTTGCATCGTCAATGTTGTCTTCAAAGAAAAGCTGAACAAGAAAAAAAGTTTAACTTAGACGACGTGTCTGATCTTTTGCACCGTGCTTTGAACTTTTAAAAAAAAGGAACCATGAAATGAACAGGCTTGTTTGAGATGAATCAGTCCTGCACAGAATCAACCACCACACAACTCACGAGCTTCAGGCGGCCGCAGTTTTTTGTTTAGAGTCAGGCACTAGCAACGTCCTGATTACAAGACCTCTGTGCACCATGGGAAACACGTCTTCCCCCTTGTCTAAAAGCTCATCTGTCACATGTGTGACCAGCATTATTAGGTTTAACAGGAACTTGTAAATATCTCATTTAGTTTCATTAGTCTTAAGTGAGTACATTTTGAATGTATTTGATTTAATTTTTTTTTTACATTAAATGTCTTTATAAAAACATGCAGATTAAACATTAAATGCTGTTAAGCTTATCCTGATTTCCTGTATAAGGGTTGTGATGACTTATTAAGGCTGGACTTTTTAGCAGTGTGTACTAGTCACCACATGTTTTCCTCAAAGTTTAGACTTTTTAAACAGATTAAAAAGAAAAAAAAAAGCAGATCATTTTCTTAAATGACAAATCAGTCCATTTTTGACCTGATTTTATTTTCCCAAGCATTAAAATAAAGTAATGTTCTCTGAGGACACTGATCAGCACAGTAAAGTAAACCAGGTCCTCTGATGGTGCGGACAATACAGACTACGCTTGACAAAATATAAAAAGTTAAAGGAAACTGGGTTGAAATTCTGATGATGCTGCAGATCTACAGTGGAAATTATAAAAGACCAGACTAGAGGATAATTGTGCTCTCACCTCTTTCATCCTGAAGAAAGCCATACCGGTGAGCAGAGAGTCTGATCCAGCCTGATGCTGCCGCCCGATCCTCTTCAGCTCCAGCTGGTCCGCCACTTCCTGTAGCCCCCCCTGCGCAGATACACAGCAGTCAGACATCTCAAGACTATCATACAACTTCTCATACAGTGGAGTCTCAAACTGCTGAGTGGAAACAACGTTACTCTGCCCATCTGTATCCAGGATACGATACCTTTAGGTTCTTGCAGCTCTTCATCAGGTACTTGACGTCGTAGATCGCTGGGAAGAACAAGTTGAGGATCTGGAAGAAGTCGTGTTCCTCCTCAGGGAGCCGTGCGTCTGTCAAGAGCTTCACCAGGTAACCAAAGTCGTAGCCGCTGGAAAACACAGACCAGAGCAGGAGGAGTCAGGTCAGGACTGATGGACTACACTGAAGTTACTGGATTTAAACTAATAAACAATCACCATGGCTCAAAGTTGAGCATTCCTGTTATTTCTTAAGATAACATTGAAGAGTGGAGAGGAGGTATATTTGTTTGTCTTGAGGTGTCCAAGTTTATCACAACCTGCACCATGGTAGTGACCACTGTTTCCATTCCTCCTCAGTTCTACCAGCTTTACATGGTAGAACTGATTTTTTGGCTTCAGTAACAGGCTTCAAAATGTCCCCTGGATCAGTACTTTGAGTCTGAGAAACCTTTTTGATTTTGAAATTTATTTTGTTCACACAAGTGGAGGGCTGCAGGTGCCAAAACTCATTCTAATTGTTAGTATTCTAAATGCAAGCAGAAATATAATGGTGTTTTTAATTTACTTGCTGAAAAGGGAAGAACAAAAGAGTCATTTTATTTGTGCACAGTGTAAAGACTGAAAACACTGTAGGATGCAGAGATGTCTGAACTGGTGGTAACAATGTAAAAGCTGAATCAGGACAAACAACAGACCTGTGAAACGAGAGCCACTTGACGTTTTCACAAAGCACCAGACCGGACGTCATGAGCAGCTCAGCGAAGTAGAGCGTGTCGATTCCTTCTTCTTCATGCTTTTTAAACTGGAGGCCGGAGTTCTGGAGCAGGTCTATGGAGTCCTGTGAGTACATGTCTTCTCTGTGAGGAAGAGAGAGAAAAAAAAAAGATTCAGGTAGTGTTATCATCAAGCTCATCCATCAGCTGATACAGCTTTTAGGTGAAGATGATCACAACTTCAGCAAATAAAGCCTCAACAGTGTACAACAAAAACACATTATCGTACATTATTGGCTTTCCAATAAAGATACCGGTGATTCAAGAATCGAAAATTTTATAATTTCAATATTAACTCCACTAACTTTTTCAGCACCAGCAACTTTCAGTACAACTTTCATCAACTTCTGCCTGGTATGAGATGAAAAAAAGACTTCCTGAATTTCAGAGAGTGCTGGAAGAAGGAGAAAGGGGAGAGCAACAAGTCGCCTACGTGAGGTTGAATTTGAAGTTGAACTGCCACGTCGTCGTGCCGGGGGGATAGTCTCCGTCCTCGTTCATGAACGTGAGCCCGAGCTGGATGATCTTCAGGAGGTCGACGTTACACCTCAGCAGCTGGTACTGGTAGTCCACTGTGCTGCGGAACTCGCCAATTGGTCGGACGACGACTCCAGGGAATTCTGTGTCCTGGTGAACAACAGAAAAAATAAATAAATACAATGAAAAAATAATATAATTTTAACTATGTTCTTTCCACTAATCTTGAAGTTATCATTCATTTAAAAACCACCAACATCCATGAAGGTTTCTCACCATGGCGATGTAATTGTAGCTTTGAATAATCTGCCGGATCTTTCTCATTTCCTCCTCCACATTGCTCGCCCAGACTTCACAGATTATCTGACTGGAATCTGTAAGTGCGGCTGGCATGTTGGCAGGTCAGGGAGAGCTGAAACTCCAACAATCCTGCAGTGCTCGTGAAGGGGGACGAAGCCGAGGCGGTGTGTGATGAAGAACAGAACAACTCTGGGAGAGAATGAAAAGAAAGCAGGTAATGAACACACTGAAACCTCAGGTTAACTTTAGCATCAGAACAATGATATGAATGGTGGTCGAGGAGGATTGCTGGTGTCACCAATAACAAAAAGGTACTGCAGGAAAGTAACTCTGATAAAAGGTGAAAAAATCTAACAAGAATAATCAAATATAAAACATCATTGTAATGAGAAAAAATACAAAGCATTATGACAGCAATGGGAAATGATTGCCGCTGACAGAGATGTAAATTACAGAGTGAACTAGCGAGTTTAAAGAAGCAAACGGTTTATTAAGAAAAGCTTCCTGCAGTTACTGCTGTGAAAAAAATTATTGTGGTGGGTATGCTGCAACTTTCAATTATTTTATTCCTCATAAAACTTCTTACTACTAAATCAATGAATCATATAGCATTTCAATTTCCTTCTTCAGCCAGAGGGAAGGTACCTCTGTTTCTGAGAACCATTTTTATCACGCCTTTTAATATCAAGCTAGTATATCAGAGATGCACCACCTAGGTACAATTAGTGCACTCTAACACAACAAACTTGCAATAAAATCTACCTTCCTGAACGTAATAATGTTAGGTTTATGTTGAAACTGTGTTAGAGAAGTTGCCGATTCAACTTCATGATAATTCTAGAGGCTGTAGTTTGTACTACTATTGTATCTGTGAGGTCTTTTTTAATATTTAGCCTCCTCTACTGTCTTATATACACATTTACAATCTGCATAGACTGCAGAGACAAAAACATTTAGATACAGCTCCTGTAGAATAAGTATGAGGGATAATTTCCTCTTAATTAACTCTGTGTTACCATGACATCAAGTTGGACTAACCCTCCATAGCTGGTGGCTGTTTATACTATTGAAGCTAGCTAACACAACTTAAACCGAACACAAAGTGACACCAGATTTGACGAGCGTTCTTCTTAACTTACGCTTTTCAGGAAGACTTGACAATCTTTAACAACTTGGGCGGTTCTAGTAAGTACATAATTTGAAATATTGTTAATAGCAGCTAACGGTGTTGCAGCGAGCGGCTAAAGCACTAGCCGGAGGCTTTAGCATGGACGGCTAACGTTTCCAGGCTAATCCTCGCGTTATCGAGCAAGCTAACATCACGGGAGCGAACATTAAACAAAACGGCGCTGCTCTTTCACTTATCAGTATCTCACAGCGGCTACACACACCGCGGACATGACAGAGAGTCGCTGTGGAAACGATAAAAGTATTAAAATAAATTCGTTTACCAGAGAATTTCCTCGACGTAACCTGCCAAGCTAGTTGATAGCGCCGCTGTGGCTTCTTCTTCGCTTCCTCCTACTGCCTATTCTTCTTCTTTGTGTTTATTGGCGGCTACTCAGTTGATACTCAGACATTGAACGTGTACACCTCCACCTAGTGTACCGGAGGGAGTAACGACGTGAAATAAGCCTTTATAACGTTGGCTCAAACGGTACATTTGGTTACATTTTTACCGAGATTTTGTTAATTAATTTTGCTACCACTCACAAACAATGGAGGTGATTTGAATTTGTTTAATTGCTAATATAAGGCATTGTATCAAACCCCAGGGGGATATTAGGTAAATTAAAGTTGCTCCCTCAAGAATGGAAATGTAACAGCAAAAAGAGTAGGAATAGGAAGTCATATTATAAAGATAAAATATAAAATATGTCCTTACACTATGATATATAAATACAAATTAGAAATATGTAAGGATATGTGCCACTACTATTGAAATGTCAATAGATTAAGATTTTGCTGATAATGGTGAATAGTTAGCGAATATGGCTTCCCAGCAGATTTTGGATTCTGGCTGCAGAGATTTGCTTCCACTCAACCCCAGGAGGTCAGCCACTGATACTGGGAAATAAGTTTTGGCTCACAGTTGGTGTTCCAGTTAATCCCAAAGTTGTTGGATAAAGTTGAGGTCAGGGCTCTGTGCATGTGCAGACCAGTCAAGTTCATCCACACCAAAACCATTTCTCTACAGGCCTGGATTTATGCAGATTGTTGAAACAAATCTGGAAGCACACTGTTAACTAAAGTGTGTATGTTGTAACATTAAGATTACATTCCTTACATTGGAACAAACGGGCCCAAGCCATGAAAAACAGCCTCAGAACAAAAATACACAAACTACATGTCCCCACCTCAACCAAAAAGAAAAAAGAGTGAAAGACTGTGCCTATAAGAAAGCACATTTATTTGAAAATCATCTCATATACCTGATACACAGTACAGTATATTGCTCTGATAAAGATCACCTCACATGCCCACAACACACAGCTGTTAGCAGGTCAATAGCAGAGATCAGAATCCAACTCTTCATGGCAGATAGAAGCCTCTTCCTTGGATAAATAATCACCTGAAATTCTAAGATTATGTTAAACTTTTGAACAGATTTTAAATGGCTGAGATTTACAATCTGTATTTCTAATAGTGGACATTTACAAGAGAAACAAAGAGAAACAGAGCTGTGAGTGTTGTCAGTTACTTCAGGGATTGAGAAGGATGAGGAGTGAATGAAGCAGGATCGTCACTTCTTAAATACTGCATCACTGGCAATCTAGTGCTTTTTGATTACTTGATTTAAATGAGATGCAATGGAGGATTTCTACTGAGGTACCAGCAAGCAAAGACACTTGAGCCCCAACTGATCCAGGACCTGCAACATGTTGGATGTCAAGGTTTAAGAAAGATATGCATAGAAAAACCAAAACTAGTCTCTGTGCAGCAAAGGGAAAATACTTTATCATTATATCTCACTATTTATTTTGAGACTGAGACACGTTACCACCTGTGTTTCCATCATTTTTTAAGATAAGTGTTCTTTGAGGCAGAATTTAGAGGTTTAAGATAATAACACGAGTGCAGCCAGAAAAAGTTGACATGTTAGAATAAAACAAAGAACAATAAGCTGCTCCTTGTTTATCACAAATCCACTTTGTTCCTATTAGACCGGAGCTGGCAGATCCAGACCTTCCTCAACACTGTACTCCAATGAGTCCATCTGATGTGCTTTACAAATAAACCAGCAATGCACAAAAAAAGTTAATACTGTTTGACAAGAACACACTTTTTCCTCCCAGGCGTGAAATTGATTTTGTCCTGAGCTGAAAAACCAGACAGAGTAAAAGCTGACACAGGCGATTTCTGGAAAAGTTTCAAAGACGTGTCAGTTATCAGCTGTGACCGAGTCGCAGCGTGATGGTGGCGGCGACGGAGGGCAGAGGCGACGTCAGCTGATCACTGCTCCGTGGACTCGGCTCTCCTCTGGATGTGGGAGATCTCCAGTATCGGCATGAGCAGCTGGAAAGCATCCTGGATGTAAGAAGCACTGTTGGACGCCTGTGAGGAAGATTCACAACACGTCAACATGAAGCACACAGTGTAGAAAATATTCTGAAATGTCCATCTGTGTCCCTGCGCATGTGGGAAACATCCTCTATAACATGTTATCTATGTGTTTCAAGGGGAAACTGACCCTTTGTGGAGGCAAGAAAACGGACAGATAAAACTGCAACGATGGGTAATTGCACTGTTAGTGTGTGTGTGTGTGTGTGTTGTTGTAGTAACATAACACTAACCTCTAAAAAGACGCCTGTTATCAGCGGGTTGAGGACGTCTCCCTTCTCGTTTGACTGTAACACAGAACGTTGAGATGTAATTACACTCAGCTCTCCACAGATGATCAAACAACTGTGACGTGTGAAAACTGAGGGAAACAGTTTGGAAAATGAAAATGCTGAAGGTGAAAAGAGCAGCATGTATTAGAGCTCTGCTACAGTAAGTGACTGACATTTAAACAGACCGGAAAAATGTGGATGGAAACAAACAGAAGGATGAAGCCGAGTTAAAGAGGATAAAACACGTTCCTATTAACCCTCAATCAAACTCATTCACATGATGAAAATTTCATTCGTCACTTGTTATTTTGTGTAATACTTCAAAATTATATGATGATGATGATGGAACTGGATGAACATCCCTTGCTAATTCAGTTAGTCTTACAGTAAACACATTTATTATCTGTTCTACTGTCACATTAAAACAAGGTGAAATGTTCTAACGACCACACTTACCCCCGCGGTCGTTAAGCAGGAGGTGAACTTCTTGGAGAGCAGTGAGATTTCTTTACACAAGACAACTGTTAACCTGAGGACACATACACATGAAACCGTGAGACACTTTTCACCATAAACGTCCTGCAGCGACTGAACATCTGCGTCGTCTTACTGTGAAAGGACGCCGGCCTCCGTCCTGCCGTTGGAGAAGAGGATCATCTCAGCCAGTTTGTGGAAAAGCTCGATGGATCGAGCCGTCAGCTCCGCCAGACTCCTGATGGCTGCGGCGTGGACCTCCTGACAAGAGTGAACACACAATGAATGCACCCCCTGCACTCAAACAATAGAAACATTTAGCAGTGACCCTTTTGATAATCAATCGTTTTTGTCTTTATCAATTTAAAAAAAACACCATGTTTCTCTGCTTCCACCTTCTCAAAAGTGACGATTTGCTGCTTTTCTCTTAATTATCTTAATTATCTTTGGGGTTTTTTTGAGTGCTGGCAGAATAAAACAGGTGATTTGAACATGTCACCTCTGGAGAATTATTATTAATATTTAATAAGATTAAACAGTCAATTGAAAAAAATCCATGGCAGGTTCATGGGTAAACTGATTAGCCAAAACAGGACTGGAACTGTAACCGTGTCTGTCGCTTCTACAGTTTTATAATGTCTCAATTACTTCAAAAGTTCCTTTGTGCCCTATTAATGTGACTGATTAAAATGTCTAACGACGACTAAATTAGACTTCCTTTCTCCCACACAGATTTAGCACTTGATCAAGTCTTGTAATAAAGATGTGAGTTAATACTGACGGACCTCCACAGAGAGCGTTTTCTTCTCCACCTCCTCGCTCTCCTCCTCTTCCTTCCCTGGCTGCGTCATGTCACTGATCTGGCCGTTGACGCTCTTACAGGCCTGTTGGAGGTTAGAGAGCGCACAGTAAGAACATTGCTGCCACCATGTTCACACTGGATCAGATGAGGGTGGACACAATAAAAACTGGAACTGCATAATCTAATGGAATCCAGAACAATGGGTTTGCAATAAATAAAACAGTAACTAAAACCGGATCAACACACAAGTCTCAGCCTCACAGACGACGTTAAAGCTCAGTCACTGACACGTCTCAGACCTCGACAACAAAGGAACAGGAATCTGATCAGAAACATAGAAACGTATCACTGGTACTTTGCTGAGCTTGTCGGCGGTGGTGGAGACGTTGAGACCCTCCAAGGCCTTCGTTAGCTCCCGCTCGAACTCGTTGCCGTCTCCGTCTGGAATCAGAAATGTGGAAATCAGTCGTTTCAGATGACGGTGGTGCTGAACTGCTCTGGCAGTGCAGTGACACAGAGACATTACCTTTCCTCTCATCGACTTCCTCATCATCAAACTCCACCAGGGAGAAAGAGTCCTTGATGTCTTCCAGCTCTTCTCTGAGCTGAACCAGCTCGTCTCCTGACAGGGTGGTCAGCACCGACTTCACCTACAGAAACACACAAAGAACCACAGCCACATTACAGGCTTTTACCAGATTCCATAGAGCTGTGAAACATAAATACATCTCAGTTTATCTATCCATCCACTGTACGCATCATATTATGTAATAAGAGATTTTATCGTACCTTAGACTCGCTCTCCCTGGACAAAATCTCCAGAGCCTCGAGGTGTGACAGACCCTGAAATTCATCAAACAGCATCCCATAGTGAGCGACCACCTTCTTCTCGGAGTCTGACGACTCTGTCTCTGCCGTCTGCAGCTCCTCCCGCTCCTTCGCCTCCCTCAGCACCTGAGAGACAGAGTTGTGAGGAAGCGACAGGTGAAGGGGACAAAACTCCAAGCATCGAAACCAGTGAAACATGAACTGAGATGAATTTAGTCTAATGTTCAGTCTCATTCCTCGTCTGCTTACCTGAGACAGAGTGGAGTTCCTGATCATCAGTCCTTTGGTCTTCTTAAAGCCGGGATCACCTTCTGCTATCACATCCATCGTCTTCTTCCCGATGAACTCCAGAGCGTCCAGACCGCCTGTTATCACCGTCTTCCCCTGTGAGGAGGTTTAGTTACAGTCTGATAAGCAACACTTAAAGATCCCATATTGTATAAAGGTCTCTGTCCATGTGTAGTGTGATTATAGATCAGGTCTAGCTTCTATATTAATACTGTGAAAGTATCAAAGCCTCAGTCCACAGAGAAATGCACACAGCCTGTATTCAGAAACTGAGCCTTAAAACCAGCCGTCAGGACTTCCTGTAACTTTGTGATGTCACAACAAAGCAGTCATGCCCCCAAGAGAGGCTCAGAGCCTCCCCTCTTCTGATTGGCTCTTCTAGCCACTGAAATCAGCTTCTCTCCTCCTCACCACAGTTCACTGGGTTGCTCAAAAGGTGAGCTGAAAATCATTTGTGAATAATCGTGAATGAATTAAAACCCTATCACAAAAGAGAACATTCATGCACAGGTACTTAAACGTCTGCTTACTGTGCTCTGGACGACGCTGGTGAGCGATGACAACATTCCCATTGCACCTCCAACCGCCGTGGATCCATCTGCCGCTGCTTTGTCCGTCTCACTGCCGGCTTCACCTGCAGGCGAGGAAACGAACAACATATATCCTGATATAAAAGGTTTACAGAAGAATAAAAAAAGGAAAATATGTAATGTCCCTCATAGTCACCAAGAAGGAGCCGCTGACCCTAACAGTGTTTTTGCCATTTGATGTCTTACCCTGCTGTTTCTCTTCTTCCTCCACCTGCGCTGACAGTTCGGTCGGGCTGGGGATTCCCAGAGACGTCTCAGCCTTCTCGATCGCCTGAGTGAGTCCTTGTCCTGGACAGACGTGAGACAAGCAGAAGTTTAAAACAGCATCAGACAGAAAAAACTGTGAGGTGAAACACATACAACGTAGGACAGAGTTTTGTTTAGGGGGTATGTTTAAAATATTTCTTGGACTATCTTTGATTGCTTCTGTTCAAGTCCAATTAACAACTTAAACCATCACAGATGCATGCGTATACACAATTACATTTTCCTTGAAAAGGATGAGTCTGGATTTGGCTGAAGGATCATATGTTGAACTATTAAAGCTTTAACTTAAGACTCATCATGTGATTGAATGAGGACTGGGTGCTCTGATTAGATGCTTTAAAAACCCACCATACACACTGTATATAAAGGATTGAGTTAGGCCGTCTATACTCACCCACAGTGGCCACAGTAGCTGTGGCTGTGGACAAGATGGATTTTCCCCAGCTGCCCCAGTATCCCCAACCACCCTGAGCCACAGTGGACTCACTGGAGGCCTGATGAGATGAGAGGATGAAGACAGAGGGCAGAGAGAGAGAGAGAGAGAGAGAGAGAGAGAGAAAGAAGAAGAGATTATGGGAGAAGAAGAGAAAGATAAAAAAAGAAATCAATTTATTTGTACACAAACAGAAGTGACCTTTGGTGTGATGATGTAGAAGTTATGACACAAGACAAGGCTTATCTCTCAACAACTGCAGCTTGTTGGAAACAGGACAGTTGATTTGATTTTTCCCAGATCAGCAAATGTAGATGTGTCGTAGTGCTAATTCACAAAGTAAAGTTTCCTTTTACTTATTGTTTGCAGTTTTTTCTGGTATAAACGCTGATTATTTCATCACTACCTTGGGCGGCTGCTCCTCTGCTTTCGGCCTCTCCTCAGCTTCGGCCGCAGGTGCGACCTCGGGTCTCCTCCTGGCCTTCCTCGTCGGGGCCACGTCTGTCGCATTGTCAGGTGAGGAGCTGTCGGGCATCTCGGCAGGAGAGGCATCCTGAACCTCTGGACCCTCCGCTGCTGTAGCTTCGCTGTCTGACATCGTTATGTCTTTAGCACATGCCTTCAAAGAGAAAAAAAGAACAAAGAAAATAGCTATTACTAATCGAATAAATATCCAACTTAAGGAAAAATCCAATCATTCTTTCATGGTTAGATTCAAATACATTCCAGGATATAATAAAATACTGAAATCTACTGTCTTGTTGAACCCCACTTTGCCCTCAAACAGTGATGTCATACATTTCCCAGTATGCATTTCAACAACACTCAGGGAACAGCAGTCAACTATACAGCTGTTTATCATCTGTGCATCAGGGGAGTGTTGGTTTTAAGTCCTAAAGCAAACACCACATGTATATATAAGGGAAATCCAGGATTTTAAATCATGTAAAATAAACCCGATATTTAGAGCCGTAGCTCAAATATCCCATTAGTATTCAGTAGTAAATTAATGTTGTTGTGTTATTGCATTATTACTCGTATGTTCAAGTCACAGTGACACATGCAGGCTTCACTGTGGGCTCGTAGTAGTTGTGGTGAGCTAATGACTCGTTCATGTACTAAACAGTAGAAGTGTCAGTTTATTTCTAGCAGCATTTCCCGCTTTAATAAATACCAATGCACAATTATTAAGACGAAGCAACACATACTTACTCACCTAAACTACAAACTTACCCTGTCTCTGGCTCAGGTGTCAAGTCTTGATGCTAGCAGTTAACCGTAAACCCAGCCTGCTAACAGTTTCCCTCCCAAAAAACACCAACGAGAAACGTTTATCTTCTTTATTTCGCTTTGCAGTTCAGTTCTTACACGTTAATGTCCTTTTAGTTTCCCAGAAAACAGTTAAATAGTTCGTGTTTTCTCCCTCTTTTTGTCCAACAGGATTAGCCACGTCACATTTTGTTTTCAATCGCCAGTTTCGACATTTAGCGACGCTAAGAACACAGTTTCCGTTTTGGCACCTTCAAAATAAAATATTTCTTAGACTACGATAAAGATAGAATTAATATTTTTAAATAAACGGAGAATCTGCACTATGTTAAAGATGAAAGGTGCTCTTTAGATTTGGTTTTAAACAATTAAACGCTTCTGAAAAGTTGCGTGAACATTTTTAATAGATATTATTGCCCTTTTCGATGGGGGACAGGTTTTATGATTTATTTTGATGGCAAATCCTTTTTCCGACTGGTCAATCACTAACGCACGTTAGGTAGCTTGACGCAATAAACTAATCACGTCAAGTATCGGAAATAAGATTAATACATTTCCCGGAACTGTCAAAATAAAATCATATATTTATTTATACAGGTATATACTGTTTAAATGACAATTAAAATAACTGATAAATACTTAACCACAATTAAAATGTACATATGCTATATTTAACAAAAATACGATGCAGCTTTTTTCACATACCTGTTCTTCAGCAACCAGTTTGAGCTTGCAGTCAGGGCATTTTGTCTTTTGAATCTTATTAATAAAGCAAAACTAAATCTTGCAAATAAATAAGTAAAATGATTGAAGGAAAATATTGAATGAAAATAAATAAAATACTATTTTTATTATCACTATTAAGATACATAAAGTACCTTTAAATAAACCCTGATTACTCAGTGTGTCATACTTTCCCACCACCATCTGAAGTCATGAACGCACCTTTTGATGAATTGACACCAAGCCACGCCCACTCACTTGCACCTGTCCTGAACTAGGAAGTGAACGCACCGCTCGCAGGCACCGTGTTTGTTTTGTTCAAACTATAAAATAGCAGTAAAAACCTAAAAACCGGAAGTATCTTTGAACATACATGAAGGAACAAGAAGGTTTTCATTTGCTGTTTTTGTCTCTGTCGGAGCAGCAGGTGGGTTCAGGCTCAGGTGCTGGTTCAGAGTCTGTTTGGGGTTTTGTGTTTGATGATACAACAGTGTTATGACAGGAACGTGTTCTGTTTAACGTGTTTTAAACTATACTAATTATTTAAATGAACAATTTCTCCCGTAGATAATCTTGAAAAGATTATTTTTTATGTGACACTATACTGAGTTAATGAGATAATGGTATTTTTTTTTAAATCTCCCATAGCATCACTGTGTAGCCTAGCCTGAAGACAACACAGGCGTTAAAAGCCCATGTAATCTATAAAATGTGAAACTACTTTGTGTAATCAGAGAATGTGATGAGGGAGACAGAAATAGGCCAAAACCTTGAGATTTATTGTGTCATCTTTGACATTTCTAGATTTTATCATTTAATATCTCATTTTTCATTAACAAAAATCATGATTATTTGGTATTTTAAAGCTGTAAATAACTGAATAATTCCACAAGAAAACAGGTTGTGTGTAGGCTGTGTTGCTGCATGAGCCTCAACCGTTAACGCTTCCTGTTTTGCAGGTTTTTCTCGTCTAAATGTGAGCTGGAGCTGCGTCCGCCCTCGACATGTTTTCACATCAGAAACCCCACCTGTCACACCTGCTCCTCACAGTCCTGCTGCTCCACGGTTGGACGACAGAAGCAGCTCAGAACGGGTCAGAGGTAGAGGCGCCGCCCAGCGACCCCTCCATCGTGGCGAGGGAGGGATCCAACACACTGATCGAGTGTAACGTGACCGGAGGCCACGATGATGTGAAGTGGTACAACTCTAAAGGACAACTGCTGGGTGAGCCAGCAGGTAGGAGGAGTGCTGAGAGGAAATTCACAGTTACAACACAATGCACAGTTGTTTTCTATGAATAAAGTAAATAATACACACAGGCAATATACATGCTCACAAGTAAAGTAGTCCTACACTGGGTTCTTTATTATCTTTATTATCTAGACAAGGTTTCATCAGAAATCTTTCTTCATCATGTGAGTACCAGATAGCTCGGGCTGACATTCAATCATATCGAATATCACGATATTTTTTCCGCCAAATATAATATTTGTTATAATATCATAATGCTTAGTGTACACTGCACTTCGCCATGTGAGGAATAAAACTTGCTGTGTAGTGGCAGCATCGCTTGGACCTGAAACATAAAATACAAAAATATGATTATATTATTAACCCTGCAAAGTTTGGATATTTCCCAAGCCTCATATCAGATGCCATGCCTTCCCTTTAATGTGTATTTTTTTCTGAACACAGAGTAAAAAAAACACAGATATAAATAAACATCAATTTGGTCCAAAAATCCACTTTATTTAAATTTTGTTGAAACTTTCCATCTGGAAATGATAATGATAATAATAATAATAATAATAATAATAATACTCATACATCTTTACTCTCTTTGAAAAGTCTTGGACTTTTTCATAGTGTCAAATAAACTAAACTAAACTAAACCAAAATCATGTTTACTGGGGATATCATGTTATAAAAACCATTATAAAACCTGGAAAATTTAGAATAATTCCACAAGAAAATAGACTAATCAGAAGAAACTAGTACAGTGGAAACACAGTGAGAGAATACTTTTGTCACATGATACATGATTAATTTAATTTAGCACTGATTACTTGTCATATTTTGACATGGACATTAAATTTAAACCATGTTTTGACTTTCAGTTTTCAGGTGTCAAAATGCATCGGTTATATATTTGTCACGTCCAGCCCGTGTTGCCGTTGTTTTCACTAACTGTCAGTTAAATGCTTCTTCAGTCTAAGTTGTGTTTTCATGCACGTGTCAGTAAACTCTTATATCACAATGCAGCACCAGTTTGTGTTTGTTGAATCTAATCCAATGTATAAAATCACTCGTGCGAGAATTGAAATGCAATAAAGCAAAATTGAACTTTAATTAGTGTTAACTGGGTTCGTTGGCCTGTGTAAATGTTTTGGATGCTTCATTAAATTGGCTGTTAATGAGAACTCCTCTTCCTCGTTTCCTAATGCTCAGCTCACTCCTCTAAAAGTTTTTGGTTAAACTTTGTTGTCATGTCTCTTGACCTCAGGTGGGAAGTGGGAGATTCAGGAGAACGGCGTCCTGAACATCAGTGTGGTCTCCTTTGAGGATCGTGGTCGCTACACCTGCGTCGCCTCCAATGGCACCAAAAACTACACCGTCACGGTGCGTGTCGCCTACACCGACAGCGGCCTGGGGTTGTACTATGTCATCGTCTGCCTGGTGGCCTTCGCCATCACCATGATCCTGAACGTGGCGCGGCTCTGCATGGTCAGCAGCCACCTGAAGAAGACGGAGCGGGCCATCAACGAGTTCTTCCGCACCGAGGGCGCGGAGAAGCTGCAGAAGGCCTTCGAGGTCGCCAAGCGCATTCCCATCATCACGTCGGCCAAGACGCTGGAGCTCGCCAAGGTCACGCAGTTCAAGACCATGGAGTTCGCCCGGCACATGGAGGAGCTGGCACGCAGCGTCCCTCTGCCGCCGCTCATCCTGAACTGCCGCACGGCCGCGGAGGAGACCGTGGAGACGCCGTCTGACCCCGCAGAGCCAGCCAGGAAGGCGATGTCCGGTAACCGACACGCTATAGGCCCGCCCTCCTCTGACAGAGACGGAGAGGAGGAGGAGGAGGTGTGCCGGGCGCTGCTGTCAAGTGAAAGTCGAGGGAAGGGTGGCGGCGGTGTGGACGTCAAAGTGTCAGTCCACACTGTGTCTGAGGAGGCGGAGCTCAGACCAGGCTCATGCACAAGTGCGTCCTACGAGAGCAGCATGTAGCGTCTGAAGAAACCTTGTCTGAAGTGTCGGGTGAGAGATGAAGAAATCAGACTTAAGATTCTGCTTATCGATGTTGAACCTGTTGAATATTGTCATAAGAAAAGCAACGAAGCCAAAACATGTTGAATTTAAAACCCAGATTTATTTAAGGCGACAAATTTACACTTAAAAAAAAAGGTTCCATATTTTCTTCTTCTTCTGTGTTTTATTTGAAGGGTTGATCCATCAGAAGATATATTTGTGGTTTTAAGAACCAAAAACCATCTCAGTGTAGTTTTACATCTCCTCTCTCAGGCTTCTCTCTGGAGCTCTAGTAACAACTGATTGGCTGACTGTTTTCTGAGTGATCCAATAAAAATAAAGCAGATTTCAGGTAAAAACACTCAGAGAAACCAAATCCTGCAAGGTTTGGATGGTGGGTCCAGGTGGGCGGGGCTTGGTGACTGCTTTGTTGTGACATCACAAAGTTCCAGAAGTCCTGACGGCTGGTTTTAAGGCTCAGTTTCTGAATACAGGCTGTGTGTTTCTGTGTGGACTGAGCTGAAATGTCTTTATATAATATGGGACCTTTTTACCAAAGAATTAAAGGTAAATAAAGATTAGATTTCGCTGTGTACCAGTTGGATTCCAGCTGCTTTCCACTTTGCTTTCATTTGATCTTAGACATCATGACTTCATGTGTGAAAATCAAACTGCTGCTGAATCACGTTCTTCCTCCTCCCTGCTTAAAACCATTTTCATGCAGTGAGTCCTTTGTCAGGTTTACACTTACTTTAACACTGTATACACACACACACACACACACACACACACACACACACTTGATCAGTGATTCAGAAAAGTGCAGCTGTTTCTCTCTGATTTCAGATAAACTCTAATGTTGCCTGTAAAGTTTCACCACTGCATCAAGCAAGGCTCTCAATTCTATTTCCTCTTGTCGTAAATATAGATTTTTTATTATTCCTCCTGTTTGTTTGATGGCTTCTCCCTCAAACTCACATTCTTAATGTTAGTCTGCGCGCACGCACACACACACACACACACACACACACACACACACACACACACACACAGTCAGAGTAGCAGCAGATATCAGAGCTCATCCTTCCTCCTCCAGAAGATGCCACTTCACTTTTGTTCAGTGTGACAGTCGCTCAAAATGTCGTAATGAAATCTCCTCATTTCACTGTCAGTTGTCTTCATGTCGCTGCTTCCTGTCAATCACCAGACAGAGACATGGAGACAGTCTCTTTAAGCCTCCATTGGAATCTGTTTATTTGGGTCTTTGTTTGTCAGGACAGCAGATAATTGCAGGTTTTTTTGAACCATCATCCTTTATCTATTTTCTCAGGCGCATAAGCTACAAGAAAACAAACAATCAGAAATACAAAAAAAAAAAGGGCTGGATGGAAAATGTCTGTAATTTTGTATTGTAGTTTGTATATTCATATTTTGATTTAATACAATCATATTTTGGTGTGTGCATGTCAGGAAAAGTCAGAGACAAACTTCTACGTGTCTTCACTAATTGTAAAGACACATTTAGATTAATTAGCAAATCTGTCATTTATTGTTTTGTGTAGAGGATTATATAAATTCTATAAATATGAATACATATGTTCGTATCATGGGTAAAGTATCTGTTTGTTACAAATATAAAACAGAACATAAAAGATATTTAACATATATATTTTAAGCTCTAAAGTAAAAGAGAAAAAGTCACATGAAACTTGAAAAACATCCGATTTTTTTTTCAAACCTAAAAACAAAGTCAACAAACGGCTTCTTACTGTCTGAGTCTTTGTAAGAAGACGTTCTCATGTGAGTTGTGTAAAACAAAATGTGTTTTGTAAGTATGTGTATGTTGCTTTACGTTGTTTAAATATGTAAATATCAGGCTGAAGAGATCATCCTCAGAGACGGAGGGAAACGCTTTAAAAAAAAATGACAATAAATAAATATATGAACTTGTAAATGTTCGTCTGATCCTCATTTCTGACCCTTGAGGTAACGTTGCTGTCGAGCCACCGGGTGGAGCTGTTGGGTTAAACATCAGCTCTGCAGCAGGGGGTGCGTTCACCACCTAAAAACACTCCTGAAGGGTTGTTCTGCACATTAACAGCTGTTGATATCACTGAAGGAACGGACAGAGATTTACTGTCGAGAGCTGAAGTGTCACATCTCCAGGGCAAAGTGATTTCAGGCTCCTGCTCGGTGAAGGTGCTGAGCACAAACAGGAAGCAAAATCAAAAGTCCCGAAACCACGATTGTGTCGCAAAGAAACATGACAAGTCACAAACTGCTGCCTCATTCCTCTTTACACCATTTTGAGCCCCTGCAGCTTCTCACGCTCAATCACTCACCAGCTGAAATCAATTAATCAGAGGTGGACAACGTGCACAGCTGCATCACACGAGAGTCAGAGTGCAGATCCTCCCGTGCAGACATTACTCCTACACAAGGCAAATACACGTTGTATTGTTCCACGTTTATTGGGATCGAGTCGTGATTTTTCTCTTAAATTTCTCCCTTAAGCAAATCTTAATTCAGACCACGGTGCTTAGTTCAGTTTCACATTCACTATTTAATATATTTGGAAACTTTGGGATCTCTCCTAGAATTTACAACAAGGTTCTGTGTGTTTGAGCAGCCGGCATGAGAGTGTGAAGGCTGGAGCGAGCAGAATTAAATTTAACTTAACACTTTCCCCGAAGAACTCCTGCAACAAGATACTGAACCCCTGAATCGCTGTATGATGGGTGTGAATGGGTTTGAATGTGTGTGAATGGGTGAATGTGACCAGCAGTGTAAAGCCCTTTGAGTGGTTGTTAAGACTAGAAAAGCTTTATATAAATCTAATCCATTTCCCATCAGTAAAACCGAGACTACTTAAAGCATACTGTGCAAACTTGCTTTAGATAATGACATCTTTAGAATGGATTTTAAAGTGAGTATAACAGAAAATATATGTATTTAGAAAAAGAAAAGATTGTTTAGTTCAAACCACAAATCTGCAACACTTTGTTTTTCCACTGCGGTGAGTAAACGATGCAGCGGGGCTTCGTTAGGCTCGTCCTGTGAACTCACCCACGGCACCTTCCCAGAGGTCAATCTCCTGGAGCACGGGAGTAATCCCGCCCTACCTGTGAAATATCAGTTTGGAGAGCAGCCCAAATAACAACAACCTTGGGCCTCTGTGTTGAATAACTCCAAGAATCCATCCTTCTTCCCTCTCCTGTCCTCTCTGGAGCTTATCTAAATAGAATTGATTGGCCCAAGTGATCATTCATCACGCCGAGCCGCGGCAGACGTTTAAGGAGAGCGGGGGGGGGGAGATTTTAAGGATAGGATATTTCCAGTGGGCCCTCTGTGTCATCGGGGTAAACTAAACAAATTGATCGGGCTGAAAACGACGGGTAGTGTGTGTGTGTGTGTGTGTGTTTTCGAGACTGGTTACCTTAGAGGACACATTTAAACCAGCTTGTGTGTATGTTATGTGTGTCTACATGCAAGGCAGAGCCTCCCCAAGATTGATTATGCACACTTACATAAATGAGTGAAGCCAGCGCTTGCAGTAAATTTGAACCTCTTGAATTTAAATTGCTCATAAAATCGGGTCAGAAAAAAAAAAATAAATAAAAATTGTTGCTACTTCTATTTTATTTCCAATCATCTTGAAGGAAGGAGGCAGAAAACCAGAGACAAGGACGGGTATGGATTAAAACGACAGGATGAGAGAAATGCTTGTCATATCTGATCATTAGACAGGAGGGCTCGGTGCAGACGCAGCAGCCGTGATTAGCTCTGCTGTGTTCGGCTGTTTATGTGTGTGTGTGTGTGTGTGTGTGTGTACTTTCATAATTTACTGGCATGATCCCAAACACAGTGTTGTCCTCTCAGCTTTGAGCAGGATTGTCTTGTACACTGAAGGACGGACAAACACTCTAAACTTCTTTCCTCTGTAAAGACAACAGATTAATTGCTTTACCTTTAGTGCAGCAGGTTTGTCCTTCTGTGTGGACAAAAGCACAAGTATAAGCACAACAATATTCACGTGGTCAAAAGTATGTGGACACTCAGCCATCCTTCTTTTAGTTCCATGGTCTTCCACCAAATATTTGAACCTGGCTGCAACGATTGGTGGTTTATTTTGTTATTCTTTTTAGATAGATAGACAGATATATAATCCTAACCTCACAACTGACAGCAACAGCTGATTTGCAGATCTAAGAGAGTGAGCAGGGATACGAGGGGTGAGACCATTCACCTAACAAATATCAACATTAGCATTTAGCTACTACAGCCTCACAGAGCCGCTAACATGGAGACTCTTAGTCCTGTTACACTTTGTCTCCTGCGTCTCTTGTATTTTCTCTCTTAAACAAAAGTTGTTGTATAAATTATCATCATTCTTGTTTGATCCTACACCAAGGCGAGTTGGTAGTAGGTGTCAAAGCAGCCTGTTTACAGTAAATGTAGGTTTTAGACTTATTTTTAGATAACCTCTAACAAAAACGTGCACCCAGGGACGGTCCAGGTTAGGTCCGTAGCACGTGTGCAAAGAAAGGGACGGGGGGGGGCACTGTGACTGACCTGGTCCTCCGCAGGGGGGCTCGCTGTAACAAACGGCCCTGCCGTCAAGGACTAATGGGGAATAATGGCTGCAGCAGCATCACGGCGGCGGAGTGGGCTCTCTGGGACCGGGGTGAAAGTATTGGGGTCAGGTCTCGGGACGGCTCCTTCCATCGTCTGACAGATACACTCTGCTCAGAGAGAAAACATGTGGAGGGAAAGTGTGGCAACGGAGGGCGATGGCGGTGGTCAGTTGAAGGTTGTGACTTAGGAGGAAGTGAGTAGGTCTGATTGTGTGACCATGAAGCTTTGAGGGGAGATGTAGGTCACTTTAACCTGGGGCCTGGGACCACTGCACCATGAGACACAGACATTATGATATATAAGATCATATTTTGTATGACTCAGGAGGAACACAACCAAGAGGCGGTAACTCTAGTTAGGAAGACTTTTCCCTGACGTCTTCTTCTACACGTCTTTGATGTAAAGTCTCATGAGGTCGAAGGTCGAGGCACATTTGGTAAACAGATGAATAGGAAAGTGAAATCATGCAAAACTATCAACACTATATCATGGACCTTTGTCTAAATTCCAACATATTGTACCTCTAATAAACGTAGTGCAGACAATGTGTGGAAATTCAGCAGTTTATT